CAACTGACAAAACATCAGATGGGATCCCTCCTCCTACCCCGAGACTGGCATATCCTGAATGTCTGTGTATCACGCAGTTTAGGCACTACCCTGGAATTATGTTATATTCTGAAGAAGCAAGGGGCCATGAGGAAACCCAAGAACCACTAAGGTTATATTTTTTACCCACCAGAAAGATGAAATGGCAACTCAGAGTGAGAAACTAGGTATCTAAGAAGCAGTTATATTTCTTGTGAGCTTGATTTAGGGACTGACATTCATACCGGCCACACAAATACTAAGAACCCACTATGTACAGGACATCCTGCCAGGCTACTTTGGAGTGGGAAATATAACAGTCATGATTAGCCAAGGTATTTGCAGTCTGATGAGAGTAAATGTGAATGATGGTAGCTGCTATGAAATACACACTATTTGATTACACAGCTTATGCTACACTCTGGTTCACATTTAATGGAATCTTTCTCCCAATAAGCCTCTAACACTCAGAGTAGGCAAGGGATTTGGGTGAGGATTGGTAGTAACTGGTAGGACTCAGATACGTACCAAGGTATACCTAGCTCCAAGCCCATTTTCATTCCTGAAGTAATGACTCATATTGACTCTCTTCCAAGGAGAGGCCAATTTGAGTGCTGTCCTTTGGTAACCCAGAACCCACTGGGCCTTTGATTCATTTTTCTGAGTTGGGAGGGGCTTAAGTCAAACCAATCTTCTCTAAGTTGGTATACAATGCACCCATTGGCAGATGACTGGACAGGAAGCTGAGGTTGAGCAGGAGACACTGGCCCAATTGGCTCCCATGATGTTGAGGCTCATGGTCTTGCTATATCAAGGTATGTCAACTAGTACCTCTGAACAGCCTGGATTTTTATTACCACTCATATCATTTTTATGTCCAGCAAAGAAGTGTCATATCTAGCTTGGGAAAAAAAACCTCAACTTTTCTATTTATGTGCCAAAGGAAAAGTTTGGTTATATGCAAAATGAAAATTTCTCTTATAAGGAAAAAAAAATCTCATTAAGCTGTTTTGCTTTCAGGTGCAGGCACTTAACTGGGTGCCTAAGAAACTATTTAAAATTCTTATCTGAAGCTTCCTAGAAACAATAAAAGGAAAATAATTTGATTCTGGCAATAAAATGTTAATAGTTTTTCCTTAAGTACTAATCTACTGAACAAATGTTGAGCATGAAAGAACAGGCATATAAATGTTGTAGAGCCATAATTTATGCATTTTCTACTGCTGTTTTTGCTATTTGATCTTGGATAAATGACTAAACCAAATTTCAAATCTCAAAGAGAAACACAATGAACCACAGACCGAAGTAAAAAGCACAGAGAAACCTAACATACTACTGTCTATTCTTTTGTATCCTTGTCTTAGAAATAAATCTCTCCCCATTTGGGACTGGAAAACCATTTTTTGGGAACTTACCTGCCTGGTTTCAGAAGCTGTAATTCCCCAGTGGCTAAGGCTGAGTAAAGGACCTTGAGATCATAAGCCACTTAGGAAACAAAGCTTATCTTCCCTGTAGGGGCAGCACCTCTGCTCCCTTTCTCTTCACCCTGCTTGGGCCCTGGTGGATGACTGATTAGCCAATGACAAGTAATATTCCTCCAAAGAGCCAAACAGGAACGACCTAAGACAGGCATGGTCAAAAAGGGGCCCTCAGGGAAAGACTTGAGGAACTATGGAAAAAGAGGGTAATGGACCCTCACCCCTCGGCACTGACATAGCCTGAGTCATCATTCTGTTTGCAAGAAGTCTCTTAATCTCTTAGCTGCCTTATTTCCCCTGCCTGACTTAAGCCTGAAACAATGCTAGAGGTGGGTATGGCCCTGTGCTAGAAAGGGTGGGTTCCCTAGGAAGATTCTGGCCTAAGAAAGAATGCATAAAATCCTATGAAATCTACTTTGCTAATACCTTCAATTTAAATGATAAGGGCCCAAGCAGGAAGTGAGTCTGTTCCCCAAAGTTTTATGGCCATAACTACCTGACCCTGACTCAAAATAAGCCCTCAGAGTTCTTTGAATATTATCCATCGTTTGATCATTACTCCCTGACAATGACTGATGAGCTTTACATATACACCTGGTATTCCTGTGCAGACTGAACCCAATAAAAGTCTGTCAAAGCGAGGGTTGAGGTGCTTTCCTCTTGAGAGAGTGGTTAAGGTGCTCTGAGGCACTCTCCCATTGAGAGAGAAGCCACACTGTCCCTTTTCCTCCACAAGACTCAGTATTCCACATGAATTTGTCTTGTTTCATCAATAACACCACAGACCCCAGGAGCCAGGGTCCCCGACAACCATTTAACTTGCATTTTCCCATATACAAACTGGACTTCAGAGCTGAGGAAATAAGTTAGTCCAATGTCCCATTTTGTAAATGGGATTCCAAGAGGTTAAGTGACTTGAAGTTCCAAAAGGTTAAGTGACTTGTTCGATGTCATGTGTTCATTAGCACAAATAATATTATTATTTCAACTAAGTAGGAAGGATACTGACCTAGGAGTGAGAAGACCTACTTTATATTTCCCACTCAGTCATTAATGTCACTCTGTTTATAAAACTAAAGTGTTAGATAAGATGGTTTTTGAAATTCCTTCCCTGTCTGAAGGGATGGACTATAATGCTGTGAACATGAACATCAGCAGTTTTTGTTTGTTTTTTGACACTTAATAACTTTCTTTGCAGTTATGATAAAGAATCAATATGTATGGAGTTATGAATGTGAGCTCTAGGGCCAGATATCTGCCTTGTAATCCCAGTTCTCATTTACTTGTGATGAAAGTCTCAATAAAGTACTTAACATAATCATCTCATCTGCAAAATGGAGATTGTACCTACACACTACACATGGCCCTTAAAATGATTAAATAACACATGTCAAGGATTCAACACAGTGCATAGCGCATAGGAAGTGCTCAGTAAATGGAGACTGCCATTAGTATTATCATAAAGGAACCAGAGTCAGTGTCTTTGTGTGGATTATAAGAAGGCACCCCTTCCTTTGTGCAGAAGCAACCTAAGTGCTAAGGTCCACATCAAGGCAGAATCTCATATTCTATGACTATGTGTCAGAGAAACCATTTCCCAACCCCCCTTTCTGAATGGTAGCCAATGTCGTGTAAGTGTTTGTTATAATGCAGGACTTCTTAAAAGCTCTCCAGAGGATGCCTACTTGGATGGCAGGAATACTTTTCCCTTCTTTTCCTTCTTTCTGCCTGGAATGCAGAAGCAATGGCTGGGGCGCCAGTAGCCTACTTACTCATCATGTGGGAAGGGCTACAGATTTTCGGAGACTCAGTCCCGAAACCCAACAGTTTCAAGCCAGCAATCACTGACCTCCAGATTTCTATTTCATGAGAAAGTAAACTGATGTACATTTTTAGCTATTATCCAAGTGCTATCTTAACCAAAATGCCCTCCAAATGGATTCCTCTTTTCTGTCAATAAATATTTACAGACCTGCCTAATCAGCCACTGCCCCTAGCCACTTAGGGGTGCTAAGTCAGATTACTATTGGCTGTCACCTACATTTCTGCAAAATGTCCACTCTGCTCTTGAGGTTCTTGCTATTCAAAGTATGGCCTATGGACTAGCAACATTAGTGTCACTGAGGAACTAGTTAGAAACAAAGAAATATCTGTCCCCATTCCACACCTACAGAACCAGAATCTGCATTTCCAGGTAGTGGTTTCTGTGCACTTTGAAGCTGGCGCCTCTAGACGACACTTTCAGGCTCTGCTGCCATTCCTCTTAAAGAGCACTGCCAAGATCTTCCTGTAGCACAGCTCTAATCACGTCACTCTCCTAAAAAAGCCTTCAGGGCTCCTATCTACACACTAAAGTTTAGATTCCTTAAGCCTGATGACCCAGGCCTTCTATGATCTTGTGTTGTCCTGGAAATGCCCATCAAAGTGCTTGCCCTGAGAATAGTAGGTAGACAATAAATACTGTTCTAGTCCTTAATTCTGGCTTTACTATGCTAGAAATTTGGGATACAATGGTACCCCCCCCCCCAAAAAAAAAAGACATGGTCCCTCACCTTCATGGAGCTTGGAGACTAGTGGAAAGAATATGTTTGAAAAGAAATCAAAATATGTGATGGTAAATTATAAGTGCTATGAAGAAAATGAATGGGCAGTGCTACGTTCTGGTCAGAATGGCCAGAACGGGAGCTGTGGGGCTGGACCAGGCAGAGGGAGCCACACCTGCAGAGACTTAAGAGAACTTAGTTTGTCTAAAGCCCAGAATAAGGGCTGCCCTTTCAGGCTTACCCAGAAAACAGATATCTTGGGAGGAAGCTGTCATGGGGTTCACTTTCCAAGTCACTTAGGAAAAAAGGCTGAATTTCCCCCCCCTGACTTACGTCTTCACTGGGACCACAGGTGAGGCAGAGATCTCGGCCTGCTGCACAATCACTGTGAGTCCAGCCCTGGAACTGACACCTAGCGAATTAATCCCAGCTCCAGTGCTCACTCGTTCCCAATTCCCTTGACCTACAAGCTTCTGCTTCCTCCGTACAAAGTGGGGTTAAGATTAGAACCAACTTTGTAGTTACGGTGAACACTGAGCAAGTCGACGCCGCCGATAAAGCTCCCAGAACACTGCCACACATATCAAGGCTCACCTGAACGTTAGCGGTTATATGATTATGATTAGTACTACTGTTAATTATTATTAACTTTCGGACAGAAAGCTCATCCCAGGTATTCCTGCCTCGCTGAGGCCTCCCGACCCCGCCATTCCAAGCAGCAGCCCCTTGCCCCGCGTGACCCCGCAGCGCGGGCGCCGACCGCTGCCGCAGGACCCCCGTTACCTACGGCCAAACACGGCTTATCATCACCTCGCGTCCCGAGCCCTGCCTCCCTACCCGATGCGCAGGTTCCACGGCATCCGCAGCCTAGCCTGGCCAGGGTGGCGGCCACGCGGCGCGCTCCGGCGGAGGGGAGGGGGCTCCACGGCGGCGGCGGCGGCGGGGGGCAGAGCCAAGAGGCGCGCTGCAGCAGCGGAGGAGGAGGAAAAGGATGCTGGGGACTGCGGGCAGCCGGGCGGCGGAGAGGCCCTGCTCCTAGAGAAGCCCACGGCGCCCTAGGTGCAGGGAGTGGCCCTTGCCTCCTGTGCGCGTTATTGCCGAGATGGCGGCGGCGGCAGCGGCTGCGGCGCGTTGGCACGGGGAGCCCCAGAGGCGCCAACCCGGCGCAGGCTGAGCCGCGCCGGCCCGGGAGCTCGTGCACGTCCCACGCCGCGGTGGAGCCAAGGCCAGGCGGCCTGAGGAGCGGCGAGGCCGGGAGCGGCCCTTGAACGGAGCGTCGGGCTGGGGAGGCCACGATGGCTAACGCCAGCGAGCCGGGCGGCGGTGGCGGGGAGGCGGCCGCCTTGGGCATTAAGCTGGCTACACTAAGCCTGCTGTTGTGCGTGAGCCTGGCGGGCAACGTGCTGTTCGCGCTGCTCATAGTGCGGGAGCGCAGCCTGCACCGCGCCCCGTACTACCTGCTGCTCGACCTGTGCCTGGCCGACGGGCTGCGCGCACTCGCCTGCCTCCCGGCCGTGATGCTGGCGGCGCGGCGCGCGGCGGCTGCGGCCGGAACCCCGCCAGGCGCGCTGGGCTGCAAGCTGCTCGCCTTCCTGGCCGCGCTCTTCTGCTTCCACGCCGCCTTCCTGCTGCTCGGCGTGGGCGTCACCCGCTACCTGGCCATCGCGCACCACCGATTCTATGCCGAGCGCCTGGCCGGCTGGCCGTGTGCCGCCATGCTGGTGTGCGCCGCCTGGGCGCTGGCACTAGCTGCGGCCTTCCCGCCGGTGCTGGACGGCGGCGGCGGTGAGGAGGAGGACGCGCCTTGCGCCCTGGAGCAACGGCCCGACGGCGCCCCCGGCGCGCTCGGCTTCCTTCTGCTCCTGGCCGCGGTCGTTGGTGCCACGCACCTCGTCTACCTCCGCCTGCTCTTTTTCATCCACGACCGCCGCAAGATGAGGCCCGCGCGCCTCGTCCCGGCAGTCAGCCACGACTGGACTTTCCACGGCCCTGGTGCCACTGGCCAGGCGGCCGCCAACTGGACGGCTGGCTTTGGCCGCGGCCCCACGCCTCCTGCTCTCGTGGGCATCCGGCCCGCGGGGCCCGGCCGCGGCGCGCGCCGTCTACTCGTGCTCGAGGAGTTCAAGACAGAGAAGAGGCTGTGCAAGATGTTCTACGCCATCACGCTTCTCTTCCTGCTGCTCTGGGGGCCCTACGTCGTAGCCAGTTACCTGCGGGTCTTAGTGCGGCCCGGCGCCGTACCCCAGGCCTACCTGACGGCTTCCGTGTGGCTGACCTTCGCGCAGGCCGGCATCAACCCTGTAGTGTGCTTCCTCTTCAACAGGGAGCTAAGGGACTGCTTCAGGGCCCAGTTTCCCTGCTGCCAGAGCACCCAGGCCACCCAGGCCACTCTCCCTTGCGACTTGAAAGGCATTGGTTTGTAAGGGCTCTCCCGCCGTGTGCACCCCAATCCAGCCTTTCCCTTTGGCTTGGACACTGACGTTGTTTCTTCCCCTCTGCCCCTCTTTTAATGGTCTAAGCTGCCTTCAAAATGACTCATAGCGGATTAGCACTTGAATTGTATAGACTCCCTTTAGGGAGAGGAGAGGGGTTTCCAGTTCCATCCCCGCTCGAGCTCCAGGCATTGTCCTCTTAAATATATTTTCATCCCGAAAATAGGTCCTGGAGTCTTTGTATTGGTACTGCTGTCTTTTATTCCATGTTATTACTTTTGAAAATAAAGACTAAACTAATTTTCTTCATGCAACGTTTCCTAAAGACTATGGCCAATTTTCTAACAGAAGCTATTTTTGACAACCTCAAGTGGCATTACATTTTGCAGTGAAATAGAGGAACTCCGGGGGACTTCACAAGTTTGATTTCTTGGCGGTCTTCTGTTGGAAGCAGGAGAAAGGGGAAGGGAGGATTTTCTTAACTTCTCTCTGAATTGCCAGCCGTGGGGTCAGTTGTGCTGCTCTCCTTCTCCTTCGAAAGTGTTGAACACTTTGCTCAGTTTTGAGATTGAATTTAAAGAGCAACTAGCGAGGCAGTCGATTTTTTAAGCAGCAACAAGATTTGTTTCCTATGTTACTTTAATACCACTACACAATACAGGTCAGTGACAACCGCTGTCTGCATTATACCAATCTTGACTGGAAACATTTCTATAAAACTGTAACTTAAAAGTTAGAAGGTGTTTTGGTTATTAATGGTGTGGAGGAAATACAGTATTGCATGTTTTTTGTATGTACTGATTGCTGTTCACTGGGGGTCTCTGGAAATCAGAGTACTGAATCAAAATTGTTTAGCTGTTTTTTGCCAATAAAAATTAAAATAATTTTATGGAGACAGCTTGTGCTTTGAGGAGCCCAGTTATATTCTGGCTCACGAAACTAACTTCCACTTTGAAAATTGTTCTTTTGTTTATGGTATTAGTGAATGGCAAATAATGATACTCTACTTCTAGGAGACAACGTGTTTCCTTAAAATGTTTGCTAGTTTAAGCTGTGCTGTTCTATGATGGTTATTTTAAATTAATGAGAACTATCATTTTAAATAATGTTTCTTCGTTAGACACATTGTAATCTTACATTGAGAGACTAAATTCTGCAAGTACTGTGTAATTTTTGCTTATAATGCTACATTTTTATTAATGTACCTTCTGTTTTGAGGATTTATATCTGTATTTCTCTTTGCATTATACAAATATACCAGTATTTTCGCTCTGGAGTATTTTATTATTGTTGTGTGAGGCAGTCAGTGATTGGTTCTAATAGGCACCTAACTATGGTACTCCCGTTCTGCTAGCCTTTAAGTGTGTGTTCTTTAGTTGACCATCAGCATATCTAAGGTATTCGTAGGCTTGCCAACTTAAAATGCAAGATAAAACTCTTCAAATTATTTTAAGGGGAAGGGCTGCATTAAAACTGGTTTTAGTGAACATAGAAACACAAAGTAATCATTTTATTTAAAACAAAAGTAGGTGTAGTAAATATGTTGAAATTTATTTTACTTGAGCATCACATAAACTATTAATAATGTTCAGTCCAAGAGGGATGTTATAAGAGGGTATAGCCAATTTATTTATTTTAAGTTAAATTTTATTTATTTTTTGTTGTTCAAGTACAGTTGCCTTCATTTTTCTCCTATCACTCCCACCCACCCCAGCCATCCTCATCTCCCAAACTTGATCCTACCCCTTTGACTTTGTCCATGTTCCCTCTGTACATGTTCCTTAGCGACCCTTCCTCATTCACGCCCCCCCCACCCCGTTATCCCTGCCCCAACTACCCTCTGGTTACTGTCAGTTCTCTCTTTATTCAATGTCTCTGGTTATATTTTGTTTGCTTGTTTTTGTTATTGTTGTTGATTAGGATCCACTTATAGGTGAGATCATATGGTATTTGTCTTTTACCAACTGGCTTATTTCACTCAGCATAATGCTCTCCAGATTCACCCAGGCCGTTGTGAAGGGTTGTAGTTCCTTCCTTCTTTCTGCTGCATAGAATTCCATTTTGTAAATGTACCATAACTTTTTGATCCACTCATTATTGATGGGCACTTAGGTTGCTTCCAACACTTGGCTATTGTGAATTGTGCTGCTATGAACATTGGGGTGCATAGGTTCTTTTGAGCTTGTGTTTAATGACTCTTAGGGTATAACCGCAGTAGTGAAATAGCCAGGTCTAAAGGCAGTGTCATTTTTAGTTTTGTGAGGAAATTCTATACTGTTTTCCAGGGTGGCTACACCAGTCTGCATTCCCACCAAGAATGCACTAGGGTTCCCTTTTCTCCACAACCTTGCTAGCACTTGTTGTTTGTTGTTTTGTATATGATGGCCATACTCCATAGTGTGAAGTGGTATCTCATTGGGGTCTTAATTTGCATCTCTCCGGTAACTAGTGATGCTGAACATCCTTTTATATGTCTTTGGGCCCTCTGTATGTCCTTCTTGGAGAAGTGTCTGTTCAGGTCCTTTGCCCATTTTTTAACTGGATTAGTTGTCTTCCTGGAGTGAAGTTGTGTGAGTTCTTTATATATTTTAGAGATCAATCCCTTGTCCAAGGTATCATTGGCAAATATATTTTCCCATATGGTTGGTTCTCTTTTTATTTTACTGCTGTTTTCTTTAGCTGTTCAGAAGCTTTTTATTATGATGAGATTCCATTTGTTTATTCTTTCCTTTATGTCCCTTGCTCTAGGGGACATATTTTGGTGAAAATATTGCTGCATGGAATATCTGAGGTTTTCCTGCCTATGTTATCCTATAGATATTTAAGTCTTTTATCCATCTTGAGTATATTTTTGTGTGTGGTGTAAGTTGGTGATGGAGATTCATTTTTTGGCATGTAGCTATCCAGATCTCCCAACACCATTTGTTGAAGAGGCTATTTTTACCCCATTTTATGTTTCTGCCCCCTTCTTTGAATAATAATTGACCCTAAAGACTTGTATTTATTTCTGGGCACTTTACTCTGTTCCATTGATCCATGTGTCTGTTCTTATACCAGTACCACACCGTTTTGATTACTGTGGTCTTGTAATATTGTTCCATATCAGGTATTGTGATCCCTCCTACTTTGTTCTTCTTCTCAAAATTGCTGAAGCTATTCCGGGTCATATATGGTTCCATATAAATTTCTGAAGTGTTTGTTCTATATCTGTGAAATATGTCATGGGTACTTTAATAGGAATTGTGTTGAATCTATACATTGCTTGGGGTATTATGGACATTTTGATGATGTTAATTATTCCAGTGCATGAACACAGTATATGCTTCTATTTGTTTGTGTCTTCCTTAATTCCTTTCTTCAGTGTTGTGTAGTTTTCTGAATACCGGTCTTTTACCTCCTTGGTTAGGTTTATTTCTAGCTACTTTATTTTTCATGTTGCTATAGCAAATGGATTTTTTTCCTGATTTCTGTTTCTGATATTTCATCATTGGTGTACAAAAATGCCTTTGGTTTCTGAATATTGATTTCGTATCCCACTGTTTTGCCAAAATCATTTGTTAGGTCAGGTAGGTTTTTGGTGGAGTCTATAGGATTTTCTGTGTACACTGTCATGTCATCTGCGAACAATGACAGTTTTGCTTCCTCCAATTTGTATGCCTTTTATTTCTTTTTGTCTAGCTGTTCCTAGGACTTCCAATACTGTGTTGAATAGAAGTGGCGAAAGAGGACACCCTTGTCTTGATCCTGATCTTAGTGGGAAAGTTTTTAGTTTTTGTCTGAGTTTATGTTGGCTGTGGGTTTCTCATATGTGTCCTTTATTATATTGAGGCATTAATGCTCCCTCTATTTCCACTTTGCTGAGCGTTTTTATCATAAATGGGTGCTGTACCTTATCAAAAGATTTCTCTGCATCTATTGATATGATCATGTGATTTTTGTGTTTTGTTTTGTTTATGTGATGTATTAGGTTTATTGATTCGCAAATATTATACCATCCTTGCATCTTTGGAATAAATCCAACTTGATCACGGTATATATGATCTTTTTAATCTATTGCTAGATGTGGTTTGCCGATATTTTGTTGAGAATTTTAGTGTCTTTGCTCATTAGTGATATTTGCCTGCAGTTTTCTTTGTTTGTTGTGTGTTTATCTGGTTTTTGGATTAGGATGACACTGGCTTCATAACAGGAGTTTAGGGGTCTTCCATCTTCTTGGATTTTTTGGAATAGTCTGTGAAGGGTAGAGGTTAGCTCTTTCTTAAATGCTGTGTAAAATTCTCCTGTGAAACTGTCCAGTCCAGGGCTTTTATTTGCTGGGAGTTTTTTTTATTACTCCTTCAATTTTGTCAGCTATTATTGGTCTGTTCAGGCTTCCTGCTTCTTCATTCCATTTGAGGAGATTATATTTTTCTAGAAATTTGTCGATTTCATCCAGGTTTTCAAATTTCTTAGCATATCATTGTTCATAGTAATTTCTTACAACCCTTTGTATTTCAGTGGTGTCAGTTGTAATCTGTCCTCTTTCATCTCTGATTTTGTTTATCTTTTCAGAGAGCCAGCTCCTGGATTTATTGATGGTTAGAATTGTTCTTTTACTCTCTACATAGTTTAATTCTTCTCTGATCTTGGTTATCTCCTTCCATCTACTCACTCTGGGCTTTGTTTGTAGTTGTTTCCTCCAGTTCTTCTAGATGTAGGATTAGGTTGTTTATTTTAAATATTTCTCTTTTTTAGGTAGGCCTATATTGCTATGACTTCTATCCCAGGAGTACCTTCACTGTGTCCCATAAGTTTTGGACTTTTGTAAGTTCATCTTTATTTGTTTCCAGAAACTTTTTTATTTCTTCCTTGATCTCATTCTTAACTCATTCATTACTTAATAGCATGCTATTCAATCTCCATGAATTTGAGCATTTTTTAGTTTTTTCCTTGAGGTTGAGGTTGGTTTCTAGCTTCAGGCCCTTGTGGTCCAAGAAAATGATTACTTAGAATTCAATTTTCTTGATTTGGTGGAGGCTTATTTTGTATCTTGTCATGTGGTCTGTCTTTAAAAGTGTTCCATGTACATTTGAAAAGAATGTGTATTTTACTTCTTTGGGATAAAAGGCTCTCTCTATATATATATATCAGTTAAGTCCACTTGATGTAGGACATTGTTCAATGCCACAATATCTTTTTTGACATTTTGTTTGGAAGATCTATCCATTTCTGACAGTGGGATGTTAAAATCCTCTAGTTTAAGTATGTCGATGTCTATATCTTTCTTGAAGTCCTCCAAGATTTTAGTTATATATTTGGGTGCTCATTATATTTAGTTATATATGTTGTGTGCATATATGTTTTCATAATGGATTCTTCCCTTGAGCATTATAAAGTGTCCTTCTGGGTCTCTTTTTATGGCCTTTGTTTTGAAATCTGTTTTGTCTGTTGTAAGTATTGCTTCCCTGGCTTTTTTTTTCCCCTGTCCCTTAGCTTGGAATATTTGTTTCTAGCTCTTCACTTTAGTCTTCATTCTAGTCTGTGTAGATCTTTTGTCCTGAGGTGGGTCTCTCAGGCAGCACATGTATAAGTCATGATTCCTTATCCATTCAACTATCCTATGTCTTTTGATTGGAGCAATTAATCCTCTTACATTTAAGGTCATTATTGATAGGTACTTATTCATTGCCATATTACTTCCTTCTTACCTGTGTTTTTCTCTCTCACTCTTTTTCTTCCTTTTCTTAAAGTAGACATGTTAGCATCTCTTGTACCACTGGTTTGGAGGAGGTATGAGGCTTTTTTTCTAGGAAGTTCCTTAATTTGCCTTCCATTTTAATTGAGAGCTTTGTTGGTAGAGTAGTCTTGTTTGCAGGCCTTTGATTTTCATTATTTGCAATATTCCTTGCCTTTCCCTTCTGGCTTGTAGCGTTTCCACTGAGAAGTCAGCTGCTAGTCTTATTGGAGTCCCCGTGTCTGTCACTTTCAGTTTCTCCCCTGCTGCCTTTTATTCTCTCTTTTTCTTGGAATTTTGCCATTTTAATTATGATGTGTCTTGAAGTGGGCCTCTTTGGGTTCCTCTTGATTGGGACTCTCTGTGTTTCCTGGATTTGTGTGACTTTTTCTTTCATCAAATTAGGGAAGTTTTCTATCATTACTTTTTCAAACAGTT